ACCAACCAAACAATTTGAAATGCAATCAATAATCTAAAATAACTGTAAATGAAAAATAATCTTTTTCTAAAATAACTGTAAATATTTTGAAAATGTCATTATGTTTAATAAATGATTTGTAATTAATTAATAGTAAAATGTTAAATTACTACAATAATTTTTTTTATGATTATAAAAAATTTTCGTGATTAAATTGTTACTATATGCTTGACTCTATTCCAAATATGATAAACTGTGGATCACTGGCCAGTAGTYGGAAGTCAACAAAAATGTACACGTACAAACCATTTACGCACAGATTTTTGCCCAAATTTATTTGCCATATTTGAATAGAGTTATGCCCAATTTTGTACATGCAATAATTTATACTTTATAATCTATTATGCAATTAATTAAATTCAACATATTATATCTACTTACAAAATATAATTCAACCATTTATTTGGTATATGAATAAATTATACTATAAACTATCAAGTAACCATTAAAAAATAGTGCTTAATTTTATATAAGTTTARGTAAAAAAAATATTTGTTACTTAATGAAAATCTTTAATAGATAGTTTGAACTAGTTAAATTATTAAATTTGTATTTTTATAAATATATTGCTTGCATAATTATTTTCTTAAATAAATATTAATTGACAAGAATAATATTAATGTATAATTCTGTAGACTTAAAATGTGTGTTTGTGTAACATTTATTCTTTAATTAAGTTTTTCATGTTACATAGAGTAATATTATATTTTGTTAAAAGGTGATCTATTTAATTGGGAACAAGTTGGATATGGAAAGTAATCGAGATGTGTCCTATGAAGAAGCCAAGCAGTTTGCTGATGAAAATGGATTAATGTTTTTGGAAGCAAGTGCCAAAACGTAATGATATATTTAAAATAATAAAACTATTTTGTATTATTTTTTGTTTAATGTTTGATTATTGTTTGATATTTAGCGGAGAGTATGTTGAAGATGCTTTCCTTAAAACTGCTCAGATAATTTATGAATGCATTCAGGATGGAAGGTATGTTATATAAAACTTTTTCAATATAAAACTTATTAGCGAATAATAAAATGTTATTGCTAAATAATTATTTTTGTCATGAAAAAAAAAAATTTAATAAATAATAT